TACAAACCCGAAAGCATTTTTACCGAGACCCTCGCATTTTTTTTTATTGTTAAAATTTTTCAATATGGCGTGGGAAAGAGAAAAGATACCGGAAAATTGGATATTTAATACTACCACTGCACAATAAAGGAGATAACAAGAATTGCAACAATTATAGAGGAATATCACTGCTATCTACAACATTGAAACTGTTTGAGAAAAAGCCAGAAGCACCAGATTGCGTGTTCACTAAAAAAAAAAGATTTCGAAAATATTGAAAAGATCTAAAACAGATATGTAGCATTCTTAGATGTGGAAAAAAGCGTTTGTTTGAAAAGCCTACAAGTCCGAAAGGTTGACAATACACTAACAAGAGTTATCAACGAAACAAGAAATTATATAATTAAGAACATGAAACCAAAGGCATTTATAACACAAGAAGGAGTGAGGCAAGGGGGTAGTTTGAGCCCTTTACTATTCATAACTTATGTGGACGAACTAATTCGAATGGCAGAACAGCGATCCAAAGCCCTTGGACTGTGCCTTCCGGATGATATAACGATCATAGCAGGAACCTCGAAGAATCTGAAGGAAAATCTAGATTTGGGATCAGACTTTAGCACAAAAACGGAATGAAAATGAACATAAATAAAAACAAATTTATGGCAGCATCAATTTACTAATAGAACAAGTTAGTAGCTTAGAAGCTAGAATTAAATACTAGAACAAAAAAGGCAAATAAGGCAAATGCATTGAGTAAGGGACTCATAAATAAAAAGGAAATTTCCAAGTAAAATGAAAGTTTACAAAAAAATTTCCTGACCAATTCTTACATATGGCTCCGAGTCTTGAATATTGTCAAATAGTCAAAGAGAGAAAGTTTATCGGAAGAGAAGCTTAGAAGGGAATAGATAATTAGAAACGCACATATAAGAGAAGAGTTAAAGGTGGAACCCATAGAAGAATTCATAGAAAAGGAACAACTTGGCCATTTACAGAGCATTGTACCTGTTAAAAGAATTTGCCAGAGTAAAATGCAGGGAAAACGGAAAATAGGAAGACCGAGAGAAACATGGGACAGCACATTGGGAAAGATTTTGAAAAAGGTAGACGCTAAAAATTTGGCACTAAATAGAAAAGACTGGAAACTTTTAATATGTTACAGATTTCCCGACCCTCTAGAACTTTCGATTTGAAAAGTGATAAACAAAATCCCTGTGTCAATCTAATTGGGCTTAATAGGCGGCTCCTCGCATTTGAAGTCTCCCTTCAAGCGAACCTCGATGGATTATGAATTATCCGGCCCTACCAGGTCCCAAGTTTATGCGCGGACATGCCCATCCCGTGTCCCCATGCCGCCATCGCTCACCCACCTGATGTACTTTACGGTAAATGCACATTTATGCAAATTCGCCAAGTCTCCAACTTCATCCCTATGGGATCGCATGTCCGACCCCAAGGATGGGGCATAAATCAATATTCGCAAACCTTTCCTGAGCGGTGCAGAAAGTCGATACTCGATATTATACATCAAGAATTAACACGGGTGGAGGCCGACATAACGAAAACAAATTTTCTTCCCTTTCACAATATGTCACCTGAGACTTTTGCCCCAACAACTTGTGGATTATTTCACTCGGTGAAAAACCACACAGAATACACGTGTTTACTGTCTCCATTTCACTTTTATGAACGAGCAAATTTGTTTTTTGTAGTTGTTGTCACTGGCCATGCGAGGTGATATTTTGTATTACGCTTTGTAAGATTCTTTTATTTGTTTTCTTTAGTAGGAATATTGTTCCATATCAGTTCATGAAGTGCTCTTGTGGTTTGTTTTCATCGTGCAATTTTTGTCTCTATATCCCTTAAACATGTACATTGTGCGCCAAGGAGATACGAAAATCAACTTTGTTATTTTAAATGGAACACCCTGAACACATCGACATTTTTGGAATCCTTGGTTAAAACAAAGGTCACATTCTTAAGAAATTCCCATTCGAATTTTGCATAGATTAGGCAGAAATTGAGGTTATGTGTTTTTTTTATATTTTGGTTGTGTTGTGACGCTACTGATATTGCAACGAAAAGTTAACCACAGACTAAGGAGATGATGCACTACTCAATCAGTTTGACATATGCAACTCAGCTTATACAGGGTGTCTCACATAGGTGGTTCCGTTTTGGCGAATTCAATTAACAAAATCAGATTAGATTACTTACTTTTTGAGACATTCGAGGTTTAAGATAACACATTAGGTCACTTGTTGGGAATATTAGGTATTTTTTAAATAGCAAAGACATGATCCTACTTCTTTTAAAGATATAATACTCCAGATATACGAATAAAACAAATTTTCCTCCTTTTTGCAATATGTTACCAGAACATGATGGTTAGGTAGTGGTCTTTTCAGTCACTGCACGGACTTGTCCAAACGTAAGTTTCCTCCAAATATCAACTTCCACACTATACTGCTTCATTACCACCGACCAGCTCCCATTGAAATTTCAGGCACGTCTTCCATTCGTCCCATTGTCGAGTTCTTTGGAGACGGCCGGCTCACTGAAAATTTCAAATATCCCAGTCGATTAAGACCAACGGGTATCAATATCAATCAAATTTTATTTGTCTGCCACCCACGACGACCCCGTGTATGTGTAAGTGGTCGGAGAAGAAGAGTTTATGCGGAGTCGGTTTTCGGGGGCGACCAAGATGAAGGCTCCCTCAATCTTGGCCTCCCTTCAAGTTAATGGATAGAAATTATGGATGTTTTAATTTATTTAAGGTAATTTTGTCTACTTTACGGTACTTACAACTAATATTAATAATAATAATAATAATAATAATATAATTAATAATAATAATAATAATAATAATCACTTTATTTGAACAATACATGACAAAGTTATAACAAAGAAACAATTCATTTACCTATCCTATCCTATATCAATTATACACAGTGGAAACAAGATTGCCTTCGAAAAATCGTCGGTGAGTGGGGCAAGTTCGTAGCAAATAGCGCGAATCAGCTTTTTATTTTAAAAAGAAGGCGCTTCGCGGATTCTTGTTCTAGAGGGACGCATTGTTTTTCTATCGTGCTCTTCCGGACCACTACGGAACTTTCGCAAAATCGATGTTATTTTATTGTGAATACAAACTGTATAAAGTGTCCTTAATATCTCGTCGGACTTGAAAGTTACGCCAAACTTCAGTAAATATTAAAATTTCTATGTTTTATTAGAATTTTTTGCCCACAAACGAGGTACCCTGTATATAATTGTAATGTTCGAAACAGATTCTAAACTACTTGTTTTCTGAAACCATTCAATACTTGGTAACAGTAAATGACGTCATCACGTCTAGATTGAGGGCGAGAAATGATTTTCTTTTGGATTTTTTGCAATATCTCGAACCGTAAAAACCGTAAAAACAAAAATTGTACCCCTGATACGGCCTAACATTATTTGAACGGATTAGCTATTGTTTGTACGAATTTTGATTTTGATGTTTTTCTGGATGTCAAAATAACCACAAAAAAAAATTCAAAAATTAAAACAAAAAATATTTCGCGTCATTTCATTGCTCCCATTTTAAAGAGCCTAAATACGAGTCCAGACTTCCACTTCTCTCCCCAGTCGGAAATCGGTAGCTGCAAATTTGGAGTACTGATTAGGTTTTTGAATATTGCATGGAATATCGCGAACAATACTTAAAACCGTAAATACAAAAGTTTAAGTTGTCTATATGGGCTATATCGTCATGTAAAAGAAACTGACATCTAAAACACAGATTTTAAATTATTGCCAATTTTCAATAATAGGGGGACTCATTTTTGTGTTATTTTTTTTTTATTTGCGGCGCACCCTGTATATTTTTGAAAAATTGTCAAGAATAAAAGTTTATGGAGTCGTTTCCTCCGCGTCTTCTGGTTCAAGAATTTTTTCGGTTTTTCGTTTTTGTAGACCCTTGCACACGCGATTTTGTTTTTAAATACTTCGCGATGCCCCAGCTCCACTATTTTCAATAGGTTCCGTCACTGTATATGTTTGTCAAATCTGAAGTCGATTGCTTCAAATTTCGGACACTTATAGTGTTTCATAGCAAGGTCCAAAAAACAGTCGAAAATCGCTAAAAAAAGATGGATACCGGAGTCGAATCAGGGCCATTTCTTATAAGCTTATGTGTCTTGTGGAATGTTAAAAAAGAGGCGTATTTCAATTTTGTAGCTCCAACGGTTCGAAAGTTATTCAGGAAAAACCAAAAGACGAGAACGGAGGACGGACAGACAAAAAATTTTGTTTTCGGCGGTGATCTTATCTGTACCAACGGCGATCCCGTAGAGCTTACCGTTACCGAGATATAAAATTTTTATACGAGCCCAAATACTTTCGAAAAATTTCACATTGAGTATTGGGAATGATATTATATTTGGTTCAAAAATAGCAAAGTTCTTCATAAAGAATTTTTTCAAATATCTTGTACAAAACAAGGAGAATACTTATGATACGGATGTCATTATAATTTATCGCATTTGATGTTTTAGGTAGCGGTTTACCAACAGAAATTTTCCATTGGACTGGAAAATTGCTTGTTTCAATGCTGCAAAAAAAAAAAAACACAGAAAAATAAAAAACTACCAAAATTGGATGTTTTATAACTGTATCACTTATTATACGATTATATTTATACATTTTCTTAAAAAGAACCAAAACTAAAACAATTCACGACAGTTTGGCTTTACCAGCAGTTAAAAAAAACCTTAGTTTTTTAGGCCCCCGGTTTATAAATGGTAAATCGTCCGATTTTAATAGAATTTAAAATTGTCCTGTATGGTCCTGTATGCTATATAAAAGTCATATTTTCGTTCGTTTCCCGATTTGAAAGGTGGAGCAAGCCTCTAACTTGGCCCAACTCTCGCAGCTCGCAATGTCGTCCTGTCAATCATCAAGTTGTCCGTCAAGTACGGAAAACGCTGACGCGAAAAAGTGAATGACACAGACGAGGTTTTGACTGACAAGGGATGATGCCCAACACGCGTGTATACGTAGCCACTAGCGGTTTTTCAGTCGTCCACTTTTGTCGAGGCGAATCGCTCGACCTTGGATTGTATTGGATTGTACAGGCCGGTCCACTAAACTCGCTCTATACCTTATCCCAGTGAGTACGACACCGTTAAATTCCAAAAATGTTTTATCCCAGGTATATATTCTATTTATAGTATTTTCGTGTATACAAGGTATATTTTGAAAAATTCGTATTATTCGCTCGATTTTGAGAATTTTCTGTCTGTAGTCCTTGAGAAAAATGAACTCTCCTATTTTTTTTTGCGAAAAATTGCGTTTTTCACCATTTCCATCTAACTTGAAGCTAATTTACTTGAAGCTGTTTAGAAAACCATATTAGCTGGTTAGTCTGTGAACCATCCATTACAGTCCAGCTAATATTAAACTATAATTTATAGTAACACAAAATATCCATTTTATAAACTCGGATAGTTTTTAAACTTGCTGTAATAGTTTTGAATAAAATGCATAACCTTGTTCACGTTCAGCGGATTATCACTTAACGGAAGTATATGTATAGTCCTCCAACAATTTTAAATATATTTCAGAATTCAGAACAAAGTCAAAAAATACTGGGCCGTATCACGCGAGTTTTGACTACTTTAAGAAATACAAATATAAAGTCCACCAATTACATGAAGGGGGTGCTGATAGAAGAGTTCAATTGTGCAACTGGTTTATCGGAACATGCAATGAGAACATCAATTTTTTATTGTCCATTGTTCGGAGTGATGAAGCGAGAATTGACTGGAATATTTAACAGATAGATTTCTTATATCTGAAGTACAGAAAATCCTCTTGGTGTAGTGTATCAAAATAGGCAAGATTTCTTTGAGTTCAATGTATAGGTAGGCATTTTCCTATTTTTTTAAATGAAAATCTGACAGCGGATGGTTATGTAAATATTTTGCGAACATGTGTTGCTCCATTTTTTAAAGACTTGTCATTAGTTCTTGGAAGGACTGTTTATTATCAGCTCACAAATGAGGAATTTAGACAATGTTGGGTTGGAACTAGAGACCCCGTTCTGTGGCCTGCGACATCCTGTCATCCCACGGGTTTTTTTATGATGGAAATTAAAAGATCTTATATTTGAAGATACAATTTTCCAAAAACAAAGCAGAATTAGAGGAAGCTATTCGAGAAGCGTTTGCTTCCGTCCACTTTGTCTGTAGTTTCCAAAATTCTGGAAAATGTCATTCAAACGCCAGTGATTGATCATTTGGAGAAAAATAGTATTCTTTTTGAAACTCAGTCTGGCTTCAGGAAGGGGCACAGTCGTGCAACTGCTCTCCTAAACGGCACTGATTATTTATTCCGCACAAATTGACGAAGCCAAATGTACCATCTTGGTCATGTCGGATTACTCTAAGGCTTTTGATACCTTGAATCACCATACTTTGTTAACTATTTATTAATTGAATATTTAATAAAAATATTTAATAACTTAAATAATTTAATTTATGATGAACTACTTACAAATCAGACTTCCATGCTATAATATCTGGGGTGCCTCAAGGCTCCATTCTGGGGCCAATTTTATATTGCATATATACGTACGTTTTATACAGCAAATTTTGGAAAACTGTCAAATCATAAATAATGATCTTGAAATACGATTTTTGTATTTACGGTTTTCGTCTATCACATACGTTATTCGAGATATTGGAAAAAATCCAAATGAAAATCATCATGATTTCAGAAAACAAGTAGTTTTTTGATAACCATTTACTCCATTGGAAAAATTCGGATACCAGGAAACTAAGGAAAATTCAGAGCTGCATCCTCTATTTCGAGGATTGTTGGAATTATATACAGGGTACGTCGTTTGTGGGCAAAATTTCTAACAGGTCCTTGAAGTTTCCGCCTTTGTGGGTAAATTACTGGCGATAAATGAAAAACTTTTAAAAATGTGGTAATTTGATATGAACGGTATCGTAAACTGTGTTGAGAGAGGGTTTGAAGTTTCGTTTATGATACAGGGGCCGCAAGATATTTGAAAAAATATAATTTTAAATGCAATTACCAGTACAAATTTTGATATTTACCTAAGTATGCCGTAAATTTGAAGTTCGACGAGATGTGAAGAGCACTTTATACAGGGTGTATTCACAATCAAATTACATCGATTTTGCGAAAGTTCCATAGTGGTCCGCAGGAGCACCATAGAAAAACGCGCAATTTGCGACTATTTTTCGAAAGTAATCTTGTTCTATCTAGTTCAGAAATAGTTTTTTTTATATTTAAACAAACAACACATAATAATACGTCCATACTTTATCGACCGCACAAACTATATCCGCGTACATTTTTAATAAGGCCCATAAAACTGAATTCGCAATTAATCGCAAAATCCGCGGGGATAACTAGACGTCAATCATTGCCCACATTTACGGGCCCTTCCCTCTCTTCCGATTTCGATTTCCATTTTGGCTTTTTGAGAACGGATCTACTTTAACTGTTTAATTTGTCGCGATAAATTATTTGCCCACGCTTATTATTATTTTGGCTGCCTTTTCCGAATCAACGGCGGCCCCCGCCGCCGTTGCCCCCCACCCCATCATAAGCCGTCAACAAATTATTCAATTGTTTCTCTTTAATTAAATGTTAAAAATTGATTCGTCATTTTTTTAACCTAACACCAGTTTGTTGTTACTTGCTATTTTATATGCCTTATATACAGTATGTCTAAAAAATGCACTAAAACTCAACTCAGACTATTATAAGAGATTTAAAAAACAAAAACAAATTTGCAACGAATTCTTATTCAGGAGTACTTAGAACGTAACCATACCAATTTTTATAGTGTTTCAATACAGGGTGTATGAAATATCACTTACGCTCCGCTTAAGACTGTACATCGTAACATCTTTAATTATGGCTCGATTTTGATTTTTTTTTCTTATTCAGAACCATATAAAACCTAACTATACAAATTTCCATTATTTCTTCTAAAACCAAACTATTATTATTGAAAATGTCATTAATTTCAAAATTTTTTTAGCTATAAATTTCTCTACAATTTTTGAAACAATTGGAAATAGAGATAATCGTCGATTATTTTCAACATTTATATACTGGTTTTACTAGAGCTTTTTTTTTAAATCTCTGGAAAAGTGTTGTGAGAGGCGCTAATATTTCATTCTTGACATACATATGATACTGTGAAATTGGTTCAGTCCCTTCTTTGTGATCGGCCCGCATATTTTATTGGATTGTTGCACTTGTGAAAAAACACGCGCTTCTTCTGGTCTGGTATATATATATATATATATATATATATATATATATATATATATATATATATATATATATATATATTGATTCACGGATGGAAAAATGTGATGACACTATATTCCGGGATATCATCCGTTCGCTTGTTGAATTCCGACTGGAATCCTGCAGACGTTTCGCCAAAATCTCACTTGGCGCGAGCATTGAAGATGCCAAGTGAGATTTTGGCGAAACGTCTGCAGGATTCCAGTCGGATGCAGGATTCCAGTCGGAGTTCAACGAGCGAACGGATGATATCCCGGAATATAATGTCATCGCATTTATTCTCGATAATTTTTTAAAAATGTAACCAAAAAATTGAAAAACTAGAAGACTTTGATTAAATTATGCGCATAAATTTAGCTGTTGGTATTTAGGGTTTTCACCCAACGTACAGGGTGCTCGACATATTCCGTGCTATATTGAAAAATTAACTGTTGCCTTAAATTTCCAGCTATTGATTTCAGATTTCACATTTAATCTGTTCAAGTTCAAATAAAAAAAAATGACTTTCAGAAAAAAAGTTTTCTGTGAAACTGTCCATCTAATCGGAAAAATACTCTTGAACAACTAGACGCGAAAATTCCGGATCTATAACCCCTATTTCAAGAATTTTTTTTTTGAAAACCCTGTATGTTTTTCAGTTATAGGCAAAAGTCTTAAACACCCTGAAAATTGTACTTTTGGGAGTAAATTATTTGTCGTAAATCAAATTTTGTAGAAAATATGACTAATTGCTTCAAACAGTATTGATTATATAAACCTATGTTAGGGGGTGTAAATATTTAAGAAAATTGACTAAGGTTTCTTGACCATCAGATGGTAGATGTCGTGGAATCTTTTTTAAGTTGACGATATGGTCCGTCGGTAAGAATGCCTTGAATCTTTTCCTGATATTCATTCGTGTTCATGACCACCGTAGCATGTCGGTATTAGATTTTAGAGATTTTAGGGCAATGCGTTCAGGCTTTGCAATATTACATTGAGGAAAATTTGATTTTTGAAGGATTTTTGCGGTATCAAATCGAATCGATATCCTCTTTTAGGATAATACGCGGTGCAAGGACGAAGTTGGAACCTTTTGAAAGAACTGAGTTTTCCGTTTCCGACAGTTGATGCAATGATACATTTATCACAGTGCTTGGCATTTGAGAACAGCTTGATGGTTTGACTAATGTCGACCTTATTTTTTCAATTTTCTGAATGTGATTTTGGGTAGGAGATAAACGAAGATGGGTGCGATTATGGGTGTGATGAATAATTCCTCAAAGTAAAGCGACACGATGGGGTACACACTAATCTTACCAGTTTCAGTCGGTGATCTTCTAAGGTCCTGCTTTTGCGTTTGATGTCCTCTCTAAAAAGGCTAGTTAATTTTTAAAAGAAACTTTCATATGAGTAAGATCTCGTCAAGTGGCCCGCCATTTACAACTTGATTATTAAAAATTAATCTATATATATTTTTTATAAGTACTTATGATGGAAAATTGATCCCTCAAACGATTTTTTTAAAGTTTTGATTTTAACAATATTTTTTTATATTGAAAAAAAAATGCTACTGTAATACTATTTACGAAACTTCTGGATTCCTCCTGCGTCGGTTTTTGTTGAGTCGAATTTACTGACGTTTCGCCTATCATCCTGTTGGCTTCTCCAGAACTTAACTGGAAAACAGGGTGATTGCGAAACGTCAGCACGGTCAACTCAACAAAAACAGTATTTCAGTAGCCCGTGGAAGTTTCTTTGAAAAATTAGATAGCATATTGCTTTAAAAAACTGTTTGCCTAGTGGTTAGCGATACTTTTTCCCACAACCGATTATATTCATAATCATTTCTCGACAGCTCTATTCTACATACCACGCGTACAATGGCGACGCGATGAAAAGCCTCCACGTTATTAAGACGGCACATTGTAAAACTAATCGAACAATTTTCGGTTGAATGGGACGCGTTTTAATTCGAATCGTTCATATTTCACCCATATTCGGCGGTGACGGCGCGTTTTTTCTTTAATTTTATGCTATTTTAGCTTCACACGTTGTTCGCGGCGTCTAAAAATTGAGTCGTATTGTCGGAGGTCTATTGTGTCGCAGTCAAAACGGAACGTATCAATTTTGAAACACGGAGGGGCCATATTTTCATAAACGTAATGGCGCGCTAACTACGCGGTGGGTAAATCTCTTAATCTAGCACCGACGGTATGGTTAGATAGATTTTTATTTGACTGAATTACAATACATAGTATGTTTACAGAAGTACAAAAGAATATGCGCCTATATATATATATATATATATATATATATATATATATATATATATATATATATATATATATATATATATATATATATATATATATATATATAAACTCCGCCTGCGGTGGTGACTGGGTGGATGGAGTAGCTCAGTAAACACCGTTGCCGGTCCCAAGCCCGGACAAAGGAGGAGGGTTAAGCGTAGGGCTAACAACCCTGCCTTGTAAAAAACCTACTGTTACGAAGCAGAACGACAAGCCTCGGAGCGGGACGGATCAGAATAGACGACGAAAGCAACGAAACAGGAATACGAATTTTGGAACATGGAACGTACTGAGCTGGTTTAGAGCAGGCGCAGCCAAAAGAGCGATACAACAAATGGAGATCTATAAGATGGATGTAGTTGCCCTTCAGGAAATAAGGTGGCCGGAGGAAAGTACTCAGACCATGGGAAAGTACACCATTTTCAATGGCGGAACAAGAGATAACAAACACGAATTTGGAACAGGCTTTGCAGTGAGCGGAAAGATTCTGGGACAGGTAATGAACTTTCGTGCCGTAAATAACAGGATATCTACCCTTAGAATTAGAGATAGATGGTACAACTATACACTTATCTCGACGCATGCACCAACCGAAGATAAGGATGAAGAAGTCAAAGACGAGTACTACGAACAACTGGAGCAAACCATAAGTGCGGTACCTAAACAGGACATGTTAATCATTCTGGGAGACCTTAATGCCAAGGTTGGAAGAGAAGAAGCGTTTAGACCACATATTGGAAGACATAGTCTCCATGAGCTATCAAACGACAACGGCCAACGACTGATCAACTTAGCAGCGGCTAATAACCTGAGGATTGCCTCGACAATGTTCCCACACAAGAACATCCACAAAGAGACATGGATATCCAATGATCGGAAAACGCGAAACCAAATAGATCATGTAATAGCAAACGCGAGACACGTTAGGAGCATCATAGATGTGAAGAGCCAAAGAGGGGCGGATGCAGGAACAGATCACTTTCTGGTGCGGGTAAAGGTTCGATCAAGGATTAAAAAAACCATAACAAGTCAAGAAACATCAGCACTAAAAAGGTGGAACACAGATAAACTAAACCAGGATGAAACATGCAGACACGAATACCAAAAAGAGCTGGAAACACAACTACAGAAAAATGTCACCCAAGAGGCGTCGGATGTAGAGGAGCACTGGAAACAGATCAGAACATCAGTAATCAACGCTGCACAAAGAGCCTTAGGCGAGAACACAAAGAATAGAAGAAGAAAAGACTGGTATGATGAAGAAAGCCAGAAGGCCTTAGATACCAAAAACAAGGCCAGAATTCAAATGTTGCAGTGTCCAAGTGACGGAAACGTCCAAAGATTCAACGACCTCAGAGTGGAGGCAAAAAGAAAGATAAGAAGGAAAAAAAGAGAAGCTTACAACAAAACAATAGAGAATGTAGAAAAGGAAGCTGGGCTAACAAACAGCCGGAACTTTTTCAATCAAGTGAACCCACGCTAGAGGAGATTAAAAGGGCAATAAACCAATTAAAGAATAACAAGGCCCCGGGTGAGGACTCCATTACGGCGGAATGCATAAAATATGGAGGGGAACATCTAGATACTGCCATACTAGAGCTGTTGAAAAACATATGGAAAACAGAAGCCCTACCAAAGGAGTGGAATGAGGGTACCATCGTCCCCATTCATAAGAAAGGAGACCGGATGGCCTGTAAAAACTATAGAGGAATAACCCTGCTAAATATAACATACAAGGTTCTGTCAAATGTACTAAGAGGACGCATATCCCCATACGCAGAAGACAACTTAGGGGACTACCAATGCGGGTTTCGACCCAAGAGATCAACAACAGATCAAATATTCACCATAAGACAGCTCCTAGAGAAAAGCTGGGAGTTTAAAAGAGAGGTTCACCAACTGTTCGTAGATTTCCGCCAAGCATATGATAGCATCACCAGGGAAAGTGTCTGGCAAGCGTTGGAAGGCATAGGGGTACCAAAAAAGATCATAAGGCTAACCAAGATATGCATAGAAAACTCTAAAGCCAAAGTTAGGGTAGGAAAGAACAACACCGAGGCATTCTCCATTAACAATGGCCTAAAACAGGGCGATGGACTTTCACCATTGCTTTTCAACATAGTGCTGGACATGGCCATCAAAGAAGCCAATATTGGCTTGGAAATATTTACAAATAAGGGCCCAGAAATGATTTTGGCATATGCCGATGACATTGATACGGTAGAAAGCAGTACGATTAAAACAATAGAAATGTTCATGAACATAGAGAAGGAGACCAAGAAGGTAGGACTCATGATCAACGAGGACAAGACCAAATATATGTGGGCCGGACGGAGAGCAGGAAGGGGCAGAATAGGACAGAACATAACCATGGACACCCACAATTTTGAATGCGTAAACCAATTTCAGTACCTAGGAGCAGTTATAACTTCGGATGACGATATCACCAGCGAAATAAAAGCAAGAATACAAAAGGGCAATAAATGTTTTTTCGCCTTGCAGAACCTGTTTAAGTCCCGACTGATATCTAGGAACTCAAAACTACGGATATATTCGGCAGTAATCAAGCCAATCGTAATGTATGGCTCGGAAACATGGACAATGACAAAGCAGAACGAACTAGTGTTAAGACGCTTTGAACGAAGGATGTTGCGGAAAATCTTTGGACCAACAATAGATGAGAGAACAGGTCAATATCGAATAAGAACGAATGCGGAGCTTAACGACATGTACAAAAGACCGAGTTTGGTAAACGAAATAAAAGCACAAAGGCTCAGGTGAGCTGGACACGTGCAGAGATCGCCGAATGAACGTCTTGTAAAGAGGATATGGGAAGAAAATCCAGCAGGAAAGAGACCCTTAGGAAGACCAAGGCTCAGATGGAGGGACAATATCGAAGAGGATGTAAAAATCTTAGGAGTACGGAACTGGAAGGAGGTTGTGTTGGACAGGGACAGATGGAGACGAGTCGTAGATGCAGCTAAGACCCACGAAGGGTTGTGACGCTACGGAAAAAAAAAAAAATATATATATATATATATATATATATATATATATATATATATATATATATATATATATATATATATATATATATATATATATATATATATATATATATATATATATATATATATATATATATATATATATATATATATATATATATATATATATATATATATATATATATATATATATATATATATATATATATATATATCGAGTTTCTCCACAGTGTAACAGCATATGACAAAATTGAATGAGAAAGTACTCTCGAGACTAAATAATCCTTTTCAATTAAATATTTCAACTGTCGTATCCAAAAATTGACACTGAAGAGGCGCTTTACTGAATAAACAATATGGTGCTTCCAAGAGAGGCTGTAAACCACTTAGTAGCATGTTCTTTCGCAGAATTAACCGCAGCCATAGGGTCCATATGGCCAAAGAGGTCATTACTATAAACTCAAACCAATAATGGCCCGATAACGGAACCCTGTGGAATTCCGTGCATTACATTTGGTAAACTTGCTTGCTATTAGGGAGATAGGAGGATAATACCTCTAGCGCAATGGGTTTCAAACCTTATAATTGCAATTTTTCCATTAAAATGGAATGATGGACACAGTCAAAGGCCTTGGAGAGGTCGCACAGCATTAAAGTGCTATGTTCACCCCCCTGAAAGCCCTCAACTACGTCAGTGACTATTCGTAATAGTGCTTCGGTGGTGGAACGCCCCTTTATAAATCCAACGTGGTTTGAAGTTATCAAATGTCCAGATAGTAAGGAAAAACCTATTTATTATGTTATTTATTGGTAAAACTCGACCTTGGCAGCACAGTAGGGGCGATATTTACACCTTTTACCTATGGTTCAACCCGTCTTACAATTAAACTATCCGATCGGAATTCTGGCTCCGACCACGTGACCACTATAACAATAACCCGGCGCGGTGAGGGGGAGGTAACTTCGATACAGGGCGATGTCGCCTCAGAGGCATAACGCGAATTCCATGCTTTTGGCTGACTCGCCGACCGTCTGCTGAATTATGGCGGGCCACTCAAAAGTGGACAGATTGGGGCTTCCTGGAAGCACGGACGTGATCGACAGGACCGATCAAATTGCCTATTGTGATAGACAGTTGACGTGTACGGACCCAGGGCCGGGCTCGGAACAGTCGCAAGTGAAGTTTTGTTTGTTTAATATTTGTTTTTATTGGGATGGTTACAGTAATAAAGCTCTTGGTCCTTCTGGTTAATCCAGAGTACACCGTGTGCCAAATAAAACGACCGACTATACGATCTGGAAACCGATAGGGGATACGAAAAAAAAAGTTTCGTACAAAAGCTTGTTGGACTCTCCTGAAAATTTAAAATAACATAATTTTGTTGATACATATCGGAGGTGTCTCAAAAGAGTCACCTCCAACATCAACTTTGGCATTTCAAATAGAACACCCTGCATATATCGAAATTTTCGGAATCTTTGATTAAAATAAAGGTCACTTTCTTACGAAATTTTGATTGGCCCATATTAAAATTGGTATTGCAACGGAAATTTAACCGCAGACTAAATGATGCACTACTCAATCAGTTTGACAGATGCGCCTCAGCTTATACTGGGTGTCCCAAATAGGTGGTGCCGTTTTGGCGAATTTAATTAACAAAATCCCAAGATTTGCATATGGAACATCCTATATATCTATTCAGATATCAACTCTAGGATAAAAAGCAAGATAACTTTGTAATTTATCTTATATTTAAATTTTTCTCACTTTTTGAGACATTCGAGGTTTAAGATAACACCCGTATAAATTCTTGTTGAATTTAAAGCTATACTACTTCTTTTAAAGATATAATACTCAAGATATACGAATAAAACATACTGCTAACAATACGTGGAGATTTTGAGAAACATCGAGTCTATACTACACACTTTTACAAATTTAACAAAACTTCATAATTCATATTTCGAATGGGACCATTATGTATAAAATAACACAGTTGATGTCGGATGATACACTTTTGGGACACTGTGTGTCCAGTATTTGAAATCTTCGGGAGAGTCCAAGAAATTTTGTTAAGAAACTTTTTTACGTGTCTCCGGTGGGTTTCCAGATCGAATAGTGGGTCGTTTTATTTGGCACACGGTGTACAACAAAATATCTCTATATTACTCTCTAAAATTACTGTTGGCAAAACTTTTAGATTGCTGGCGTGTCGCCAAGTTAAATTTGGCTTTCGCAGGAGGAATCCAAAAGATTTGTAGAGAGAACCAAAACTTACAGTAGCCAGTTGAAGTCCTTTTGGTTTCTTAGTTGAGAAGAAATTGAGAAAAATGAAAACAAGACCAATAATAATGTAATTAAAATGATTTCTTGTGCATAGTAACAAAAGTACCTAAAAACAATACAATTGGGAAACAAAAACAAATGAATTTGCAAAGTTAATTGTTTTTTTAAAATAAAAAAGTTACAATCAATCGAAATATGATCAGGTAAATTGAACTCACTGTCAAGAACTAAATTAAATAATAATAAACACTAAAATGAATATACTTAACTACCCGAGAAGTTAGACTACATCTGAAGATAGCAAACTAAACAATTTTCTTTGGCCTGTTTCAATTGCAATTTGAAAAAATTAATATTTTTTAAAATTTATGTTGAAAATGCTAAAAACTGAAACGTTTATTAATTTCAGAATATCGAAACGAGTTGTGATTTTTATAATATTTTTTCGGGCGGTGTTTTTAATTTTTTGAATGGTGACGGGACGGGGACTGCCAAGTACGGCCCTGAACGCGCAAATATCCCCAGTGGGAACAACCTACCGCGGGAGCGCCGTCTCCATCGGCACCTGATTTATCGTATGAAAAACAACCATCAAAATTCCGCCGCCGTCAAACAAATTTAATTAATTATTTCAAATATACCTTAATAAGAATCTAGTGAAAAAGCTTTCGGCGACCGCTTCGTATTCGGAAGCGTTAAATTTTAGTAGGTTCACTTTTTAATTACACGCCGGGACCCTAAAAGTTTTCGCGGAACGGAGCAGTTAAAGAAAACGATCGTTGTTTCGTTTTTTTTTATCTTTATTTTTTCCTTTATCCGGCGAGACGCAATCGGAAGCTTCGCAGAATCGCCAGTCACAGTTTCGCACATAATATGAAACCATAAATCCGACCTTTTACATATCTGAGCAGGGAGGTTTTTAACTTTAATCTAGCCAGTGAGGAGGAGATCTATAATATACTGGAAAGGTGGGGCAAGAAGCCCCACCTCAAAAATTAACCAAAATTTTTTTTTTCCTTATTATAATTATAAATTCTGGTTATTTCTACATTTTTAGCATTTTACGTAATGCCAGGCGTGAAATGGACAACTTACAATTTCTAAAAAAATGCTCTTCCATATTTTTTTCCATATTTTCGAAAATCTTATAAAGACCAGTAACAAATTTTTTAATAGATAGAAAACTAGTTACTATTCAGTACCTTTTTTTTATTAAATAATTATAAATATTATATCTGTATATCATTATAAATAGGTAGGAGGGGGTACGACGGCCAGAAACTTCGCCAGAATTTGGGTAAATTTATATAAAGTTAGTCAAAAATAAATCGACTATAATATCACGCATATTATAATATATATTATAATTTTGTTGATACAGGGTGTCTCAAAAGATTCCGCCCCGACATCAACTTTGTTATTATTTTTTTTCCATATTTTAGAAAATCTTATAAAGACCAGTAACAAATTTTTTAATAGATAGAAAACTAGTTACTATTCAGTACCTTTTTTTTATTAAATAATTATAAATATTATATCTGTATATCATTATAAATAGGTAGGAGGGGGTACGACGGCCAGAAACTTCGCCAGAATTTGGGTAAATTTATATAAAGTTAGTCAAAAATAAATCGACTATAATATCACGCATATTATAATATATATTATAATTTTGTTGATACAGGGTGTCTCAAAAGATTCCGCCCCGACATCAACTTTGTTATTATTTTTTTTCCATATTTTAGAAAATCTTATAAAGACCAGGAACAAATTTTTTAATAGATAGAAAACTAGTTACTATTCAGTACCTTTTTTTTATTAAATAATTATAAATATTATATCTGTATATCATTATAAATAGGTAGGAGGGGGTACGACGGCCAGAAACTTCGCCAAAATTTGGGTAAATTTAGATAAAGTTAGTCAAAAATAAATCGACTACACTCATATTATAATATATATTATAATTTGATTGATACAGGGTGTGTCAAAAGTTTCCGCCCCGATATCAACTTTGTTGTTTTAAATGCAACACCGTGTATATTTCAGCATTTTTGGAATCCTTGGTTAAAATAAATGTCCCTTTCTTAAGAAATTCCTAATGATCTACTGGTCCTGGTGTTGCACTATTCAATCAGTTTGACAGACGCGCCTCAGCTTATACTGGGTGTCCCAAATAGGTGGTTCCGTTTTGGCGAATTTAATTAACAAAATCTCAAGATTTTCATATGGAACACCCTATGTATTTATTCAGATATCAATTCTAGGATAAGTTTGTACTTTATCTTATATTTATCTTATATAATATTAGGTATTAATAGCAAAGACATGATACAGTTTTTAAATAGAAATATGAAAAACAACAAAAACAAAGAGAAATGTTAAACTTTGTTTATACCTAAATGCTCCAAAAAAAAAAAGAGATTAGTCATAGCCAACTGCGTTTCTAAATATTTTGATATATCTTTGTTTTGATGCCAGATGAAACGAGTATTTTAAAAGGAACATTCAACAAAGATTTATTTCTTGATATTTCTTACCTTGTTTAGTTAGGTTTTGTTCGTATATCTCGAGTATTATATCCTTAAAACAAGTAGTATAATATTTTTGCTATCTAAAAAATACCTAATATTGCCAACAAGTGACCTAATGCGGGCAGATTTAAATTCAACAAGAATTTATAGGGGTCTTAACCTTAACTTACCTTA